CACACACACACTGCGGATAAAAATTCATCTCCTGTAGTGTAAAAAGAAAGAGGCGTTATGTTAATATGGTGTTTGTATACGAGGCAGGCCAAAGCGAACACAATCGGTCTCTCTGTGCACCGGCAGATCTTATCACTCTCCTACCTCCTCCTGCCTCTTGTTTTTTAATTCTTCTCTGAAGCTTTGTCCCCAGCCTGCCTCTACATGTCTCCATGCAGCCATAACCCTGTTGTGTCACTGAGCAATATCCTGTTGCGTTGGTGGAAGGAGGGAAGTGGGGAGACTGGGAGAGGGGGTGGAGGTGGAGTTGTCTGAAGCAGACTTGTTTTTTTTTTTTTTGCTTTAATTGGGTCATAGATTGGTGGATTAAACAGGTGCAGAAGTGTCTAAGGGTATTTTAAAGGGCAAAAAAAAGCCATTTGGGGAGCAGCTGTACAGAAAGTACTTCAGTATTAACGATAAACCTAAGAATACAGTGTCAGTTCCTCAGACTAATGGTGCAAGTTCTTCTTTCTCGAGGTGCCATTTTCTGTCAAACACTCTGTCGTCACGTGAAGAAATACGTCAAACGGGCTGAAACTCTGCCTCCAGCTGTATCCACAAGTGAGTCATAATGCAATTAAAAGCAACCAGTTCTAAGAACTAGGATGGAGGCCGACGAGGTGCGCTAAGAAAAAGAAGTCTTCATGATAAAACGGTTATCCATCAGCCTGATCTGAAGCGCACGTGAAGAAAATGGCCACCGCAGCCTAACTACAGCGAGGAAGAAAACCTCTTGATAACTAGGGGCATCTGTCAGAGTGATGGATTAAGGTGCAGAGTCATTATCCCTGAAAGCCTCATAAACAAGAGCCAAGAGTTGAAAGTAATGACCAGCAGAAGATGCTGATTAGACAGTAGCTTGGAAGAAAATGCATCGCGAGGGTCACTTGGGTCGAAGCCAGGGGGCATAGCTTGAATTCCAATGAACACAAAGAGCTGAGATTTGAGGATCCTGTTTTTTAAATTTTTTTTATTTGTTGGGATAAAAGGGTTTTTCCAACACTCTCTCCACACGCAGTTTTCTGTTTTTCAGTTGTTTCAGTATCACTTTGTCTCAGTGAGATGTTGCTGCTTTGCATACAGTTATGCAAAAACACACTTGAATTCTTGACCAATCACTGGCTGATCAGAAACCAGTGTCTGCGTTTCCAAGCCTCAGGTTTTGAAGCRGTGACCCACATTATCTTTAAAGGCTTAATGCCCACATCTATCTATAAACAAGGATTCACATCTTTGCCCCGTGACTCGTTAAATAAGCTGGAAAAAAACTGGAAAACAAGCACGTCCAAAGTCCACTGGATCAAAAGAAAAAAATAAAAATATGATAATAGATTTGCACGGCAAAACAACTCCCTTTTAGATTATTAAGTGAATTTTCAGGCCACTGCCCTTCACACTAGCTCTGCAGATGGTGACTTTATGTAAATAGCCATCATTTATGCGACATGACATGACAAACACTTGTTTCAAATCACACTGGCAAGTAGTTTCAGTTGTCTGAAAAAGGCACCCTAGAACAGTGGTTCCCAAACTTTTTTATCTTCTGACCCACAAAATATCCATGGCAAAAACTTGTGACCCCAAATATTAC